AGATACAAATACACAAAAAATATATATATAGAGAGAGAGAGGATTGGTGCCTTTAGATTTTGAACCCAACGGTGTTTGGAAATATTTGCAATTGAGGAACCCAGCTCACATTCAGTTTCCTTGTTGTCGTCCAACCCTCATCTGCCTTTACCGCCGCTATCGCACCACGTCTCTGCTTTTATGAAATCATTGATGGGTCTTTTGTCATCACCGTCCACTACCGCTCTCAAAACCATAAATCTAGGGCAAGGGTTTCGGAAAAAGAAGAAGAAGAGGAGGTGAAGAGGAAAAGTGGGCCGCGGGTGGCGAACGACGGAAGAGAATGAGTTAATGAAGAAGAATAGAAGGAGAAGGAAAGATGGTGGCGATGAAAGGAAGAAAATAGAAGGCGAAATGAGCGGCACCGGCGAGCTTCTTCATCTCTCGTGTTTCTATCTGATGAGATGAGAGAGAACCAAAAAAAAAAAAAATGAATATTATAATCAAAGGGTGTTTTCGTCTTTTCACACTCAAATAAAAGGGTAATATGGTCATTTTGTATACAAAAGTAACATCATTTGTGTATAATTGACGGATTGGGGGAATCTGTACAATGCCAGGTAAAGTAAGGAAGATTACTATAATTATTGAAATCATTGGAGAAATTCCTGTATTTGGCAAAAACCTCAGAAGAGGTGAGTGCAATTTACCCAACAAAAAAAAAGAACTTCCATTTAATTGGGCATCTCAATTGTAGGGTATTATTGGGTTTATGTGAGCTTATTACGGAATCTGTATTGATAATTTGAATTGTTCAATATGTATTGTTCGTCGAGTATTTCATTCTTGTAAAAAATCATATTAATCGGATATAGACAATCACTTGATCAGATTAGATTTGTATTAATAATTTATTTTAAAAATTATATTTAACACAAATATAATTTAATCAAGTAATTATCGATATCTGATTCGTGTGAATTTTTATAGGGACGAAGTAGTTAATAAACCTTACATATTAAAAGATTTAGATGATCGATACAAATTACCTGGTGAGTATACGAAGGTCTAATAATACTCTCCAATTAGATTTTAAACTGCAGAGAAGCTGTGGGGATGGAGAAAAATGTCAAATATGAAGATTGAAAAGAGTGTACCTGTATGTGCCACCTGTACATTCATAATCCATAATATAAGAAAATGTTATGGACGTAATTAATTTATTAAATTTTCTATTAAATCTTTTATATGATGTGAGATTTACATAAATTTACATGTATATAGGTTTGATATTTGTATAAAAAATTTGATAAAAAATTTAATAAATTATTTAAGATTTTTAGCATAACTATATAATAGATAATATAGGGCGAATTATACTAACGGTCTTTATAGTTTGGAATTTGTGTCCCTTTGGTTATTGACTTTTTAATTGTGACATATTGACTATAAATTTTAAATCTTGTTCTAAATAAAGACAATTAAAGATACTATTGCTTAATTTCAAGAGCAAAATCTTCAATTTGATAAAATATAAATTAATTTGACAAAAATAAATGTCAAAAAATTTTTTTTAAATTTTTTAAAAATTATTTATACACACTAAAGATAAAATTATGTAAAATTAATAAATTTTTTAGATATTTATTTATTTATTTTATCAAATTAATTTTTATTATGTGTTTGGATGATGATCATGTAATGGGTAGTTATTTTTATTTTCATTAAATTAGTTTCTATTATTTCAAAAATCAAATATGGTGACAACTTTGATATCATTATTAAACTAATCTATTAAATCAAAAAATCCAAAATTAAAAACATTTCTTATATTAAATATATTGATTACATATCAAAATCCTAACAGCCACCCATTACATGATCATCATCCAAACACATAATAAAAATTAATTTGGTAAAATAAATAAATAAATAAATATCTAAAAGATTTTTTAATTTTACTTAATTTTATCTTTGATTGGTAGAAATAATTTTAAAAATTTAAAAGTATTTTTTTAACATTTATTTTTGTCAAATTAGTTAATATTTTATCAAATTGACGATTTTGTTCTTGAAATTATGTAATGGTATTTTTAATTGTTCTTGTTTGGAACAAAATTCAAAATTCAAGATCAAATATATCACAATTGAATAGTTAAGGACCAAAGTGACATGATTCTCAGACTATAGGGACTGTTAGTATAATTTACCTAATAATATATATAATTGCCTTTCAGATGTTCATTATAATTTGCCAAATATTATGCCTGGTAATATAGGTAGGTGTTTCATTCATTAGTTCAGTTCTTTGATCATGTGAGATTTCTCGAGTTTCATTTTTAAGAGTGAAATTTATTGAGGGACCATTTGGGAACATACAAAAAAAAGTCAAAAATATTTTTAACTTATTTTGAATTACATAATTTCTCACATAAAAAAATTAAAAATATTAAAAATTAATTTTTAACTATCTTTTCAAAACATTCCTGAGTGTGTTTTTAAATTCTTATCATCAATTGGCAGGACTATATAGTTTTTTGGAAAGCTGATAAAAAGTGCTTCTAACTTTTTACCTATTTTGAGTCACATCACCTCTCACATAACTTACCCACAAAAGATAAAATGAGTTAAAAAAATCAAAAAGTCAATTTTTTACCAATTTCCCAAAACACGTCTTATGTCAGGATTCTATGTGTCCAATTATAAACTCATACACTAATTGTAAACTCATAAATTATCCAAAGAGGATGTGAAATGATTTAAATTTCAGGAACCAAAATAAATTTATATAAATTTTCAAGGAAGAAATTACTAATTTTTATTATAAATACTCAAAATAACGAGTCAAATGAGGTTTATGTAAAGTTTGGGAGATCAAGGTAAAAGATTATATAGATTTTGAAGAAACCAAAGTAAAATCACATAGTTATTGAAGGGGGCAAAATAAAACTATATAAATTTTGGAAAGGCTAAAATGTTAAATACTTAAAATAGCATAGATCTAATTACAATTTTGTACAATTTGAGGGGGGCATGGCCCCTCCTTTGTGTCCGTCAATGTCAAACACTTAGGCAATTATTTGTGGTGATGTGCCGAAACTTCCTCGATACAGCCGAAACTTACTCGATACACACACGTGATTGATTAACTATTGCATTTATTCATAGTTTACTCTATATAGAGAGTAATTTTTGTCCGCGGCTAGATTATATGATATGTGATATATTTTATTATTGTGATTGGCTTTAATAATAAAATTTATTATATTTATATTAAGTGTTTGAAGATATACATTTATAATTGGTAAAAAATACTGTCACGTGATACCTTATTGGCATTCAAAAATTTCTTTTATACAGATAGTCTAATATGAACCATCTTAGAGAGGTTCCTCAGAAAAAGAAAAGCCCTCTTTGTTTTTGGCATTTGTACCTCGCTTCTTCCAAAGCCCTCATGATCCCATTTATAATTCGAACTAGGAAAATGCGTGAGACCCCAGTGGGGGTGCTGGGGTCTCTTTCTATTGGCCAAAAAAAATTGTTTTTTTTTTTTTTTTTTGATTTTCAGCCAATGGCAGCACGTCATGTCATTGGGGTGCCATTGGGAGTCACCCCCACTGGGGTCGGAAGCATCACCGTTCAAACTAATCCTTACAAATGCATGGAGTTAACTAAAAATCATGTACATCATCCCAGTTTGGTATTTTTTTCAAAATTTTCTGTTTCTGTGCTTTCGGTAAAAATCAATGAAAAGTTGATTAATATCTATTGTTCTCATTTTTTGTATGAAAGCAATTTTTTAAGATTCTGAAAACAGTTCAAAAGCGTATAAAAAAAAATAAAAAATACGAAAATACGAAAATGAAAACAAACACATTTTCAAGAGCCAGCAAATTCATCTATGCATGTTCCCGGAGCCACAATTGCCGCAACATTTATAATGATCCACATAAAGTGCAATGGATGAATAAGATTAAGAGTAATGTTAGACACCCTAAATATTCTACCAAAAGTTTGAACCCCACACAATGTGAGTCCCACGTGGGTCCCACATCCATGTGAGACATTTGGTAAAACTTTTAGTAGAATTTTTAAGGCCTTTAGCATTTTTGTAAGATTAAATAAATACATTTACAGTGAGATCCACATTCACTAAATCTCAATTTGTCAATGAAGTTTTTGTGATCTATTATGTGTTTCTATTCTATATTCTTAGCATATATTTTTGCAGCACTGGATTCAATGCCAACATTTTACCAAATCTCAAACAAAGTGGACGTCTCAACAACATAGTTGACCAATTTTATTTCTTTTAGGCTGAGTTTGTTTAGAATGAAAGTGATAGAAATTGAGAGAATGAGAAAAAGAAAATATATTTGTTTTATGAATTTGTTTAGCATGAATATAGTACAAAGTAGAAAAAAAATTAATTTTTTTTTGTATAACCTATATTAGCATTGTAACTAGCTTTTTAATTTCTTGCAAGGAATTATCTATAACTAAAATTTCAAATTTCCATATTTTTTTTTTTGCAAAATTTTCATCTTAATCAAATGCTTGCCAAAAAAAAAAAAAAAATTCCATTTCTTATAAGGAGGAGGAGAGGTTGGGGCAGGGAGGTGGGAGATGCATTGCTTGGAGGTGGTGGTGGCAATCAAAGGTGAAGGGGACTAGGGAGGTGGGAGATGCATTGCTTAGGGTTTCTAATAAGGGTAGAATTGGGAATAAAGCGTGGGTCAAAAGAAAAAGCAAAAAATTCAAAATTTTGAGGTGGTGGTTTAAAGAAGGTAGAGTTGAAAGAACTTCGATGGGTTTAGCAGCACTCAAAATATACAGACACCAAAAATTTAAAAGAAAGTTTTTATAGAATAGATATGATTAACTATGTTTCACGGTACAAAATGTTGGACGAATTTTGATTTGGTATTCTCTATTCTGTTTTCCCTCAAACTCCAGTCAAAGGGTACCTAAGTGCACCTTATAAAAAACATAACATTGTTCATCAAATCATATTACAGCAATGCAAGAGAAAAAAAACTATGTCTCAGACCCCGACAAATTTGTTATTGACTGGGAAGAAGAACCAGGAAATCATAACAAGTCAAAGACACTGATGCTCGTTGACAGAACATCAACGAGACAAATAGGGAAGTGATTTAAGCCGTTGTCTTACCAATTGAATAAAAATTAATCAAATAACGGTAGGCAAATTCATTGTGAAGCTTCATCTGAGAAGGGATCTAGTCAAATGTTCACGTGCTGTAGCCAAAGCTTGACTTATAGTCTGCAGATGTCGAAGATACATGTTAGGGTTAAGATTGTCTGATCTGGAAGCAAATGATCATACACATCACAATTCACAACAGGTCTACCAATTAAGGTTAGTTAGTAGTTACAATATTAGCTGAACTCAAAAATGTAGAAGTTGGGGATGGGTTCACTAAAAACAAAATAATCGGGAGAGGAATGCTTCTAGGGGATAAAAGCTGAGTAAAGTCCAGCCTTTTCATTTTAGTACGCGAAACCCCAAAACTCTTTTTCCAAAGATTGAAATAAATGCATGAGATATGGTAACCACGCCGCATCCATCAACTTTAATAAGAATTTAAATTTGGAAGTTAAGAAAGCATAATTTAATGTTTTTTTTTTAAAACCGAATAGCAGATTGACTTAGCTTACCATTATATTAAAAAAATAAAATAAAAATGAAAGTAGCCTGAAGTTGTATCCCACCTAACAGATGCTACTGTCTTTCAGTGTGTATAGCATTCAAATTGTTCAAAAACTAATAGATAGAAAAACATTTTAAAAAAAAATACACCCAGTTTAGTCCCCATTTGATGGGGGTCTGGTGGGAGGGGTAGATTGACTATAGATCTAACCTTTGGTATAAGTTGTAATTAATTATGTTAAGGGAAGGATGATTCGATTTACCTGCTCAGCCAAAGGTGCACCATCATCCATGCTATGGGTCGCCACCTTTCCGGCAATAATACTGCCATCTGTTTCAAGGATCATCCTGCCAAAAATATAGTAAAACGTGAACCTTTGCTCGATCATAATAACCTCTTGGATAAAAGAAAGAATTCAGTGCATTGCATGTTACAAAGCAGCATATTGAAAAATAAATTTATCAAAGACGATGAAAACTTGGAGAGGATGTTAAAGATCCTATCTTATGGTATCCAAATTAAAGAAAACACTGAATCAATTTAGTAAAGCACAAGCTGGTTTTCTGGCAACCTATATTTGTGACTTCTGGTGAACTGATTTGATCATTGAAACAGAAAACTGACATCATCAGGCCATCCTTTTTCAGGAGATTGCATTTACAGAATTTTGATGGTGCCAAGGAAGTTTATCTATTGTGATTATTAGACATCAGTTATGGCAGCTCCACACATAGCTGTGACTTCAAAAAAAGTTTTAACTATTGCAAATGCACTTCAGAAGAGGTCCTTCCCACGGTCAACAATGCAGACTTAAAAAACAGCACTCTTCATTTCTGCTGCATGCCTAAAACTAGGGCCATCTAATGTCATAGCCAGTTCGACTCCATTAAAAACAAATGATGTGTGAATATTGGTGGGAAATGAGTGACACTCCTATTTCTAGAAGGTTATGCATAGATTGAGGAAAGAAGTTTAGAACACCTAAACTTGGTAAACATTCCCCCTTTTTCCCGCTTTAATATGAGAGATATTAGTAATAGCAACAGTTTTGGATTCAGAGTTGCGATGGAACATCAAGGTACTTCCCCAAAAAAGTTTTTTGCCATTGACCAATGCTAACCAAAAACAATTCTGACATACAAAAATCAGAAAGATGAGTTTGCAGAGTGATAATTACTATGTTACACGGACTCGGGTACGGGTATCGGTGCGTATCTAGGGGTCGGACACTTCAAAATTAAAAATTGAGAATACGGATATGTATCCAAATTTGGATACGGGTACAGGGATACGTTTAATAGTTTTTTAAATATATTTATTATATGAAAATGAGTTATATTATATAAACAACAAATAAAAATTATAAAAATTATTTTAGATACAAAATAAATTATATTATATATGATAAAATAAGTTATTTTTATTTTAGACATAAAAATTATATTATTTATGATATATTATATTATATAATTTTTTTTGGATGAATAATATTATATAATATGAATAATATTATATATTATTATATTAATGTAATTTATACTATATGTTAATGTAAATGTAATATGAATAATGGATGAATAATATTATATGATATGAACAATATTATATATCATTATATTAATGTAATTTATATTATATACTAATCTAAATGTAATTAAATAGATGAGAAAATAAAACAAAGAGAAGAGAAGAAAGAAGAAGAAGAGAGAGAGAGAGAGAGAAAGAGAGAGAATAGAGGGAGATTGAGAGGGGAGAGGAAGAGGGAGATCGAGATCGAGAGACGAGAGGAGAGGAAGAGAGATCAAGAGACGAGAGAGAAGACAGAGAAGGAGATCGAGCATCGAGCAAAAATCGAAGCTGTCCAAGCAGCGACCAGAGGGATTGAAGTCGGCGACCGATGTCTTCGCTGTTTCTCTTTTGATGTCTGTAAAGAGCTGTGTCCGAGAGAGAAGAGGCAAATCCGACACAGATCCCAGACCCGCACCCGTGTCGTGTCGTGTCAACACGGATACTTTGCCCCAAAGTGCCGAGTCCATGTAACACAGGATAATTATTGGTGTTCTGAGAAAAGAAGCGCAGAAAATTAATAGGCAGGTGGGAACCAGGCTAGTTTTTGCATGGTTGAGCAACTGTAGGAAAGAAATCATCTACAAGGAATAATTGGCATTATTTGATTCCAGCTAAAAAGCCTTCACAGAGAGAGTAAAGAGAATTTCACACACCATTGTAGAAACATTGAAAACTTCAATGCACAAAAGGGAAAAAATTGAGAACTGTTTTATGCAAAGAATGCAAAAAGTAACGGAGAAAATGGTCGATTTAGCAGAAATAAAGCAGACAATATGGGAGACAGAAACATGTCCATAAACAAAACTACCCACAAAACAATTATAGCCCAAATTCTGCAATGGAAACTACCACTAAGGCCTCGTTTGGGAATAGGCTAATTTAGTAACTTTTTGGCTATTTGGCTAAAAAGGTAGGTAAAAAAAACTTGTATGTTTGGGATGACTTTTTGGCTAATTACGAAAAGATGTGCAAAAAGTAGAGAGAAAAGAAAATCTTTGACTTTTTGGTATGGATTGTTGGCTTTTTGGCTAATTTAGTAACTTTTTGACTAATTGGTTAAAATATCTGCAATGGAAACTACCACTAAGACTGAGGCAAATAAACTTACAAGCCATGGACATAATCAATAGAGGTATTGGTAAGCTGTAATTTGAAGTTTGACCTTCACTAGTGTGAAGAGGGGATGTACAGAACAATTGCTTATCTCAGACCAACCAAACACATAAGTGGCAACAAAATTGTGCAACAGTACTTTCTAATTTAGGAAAAAAGAAAAGAAAAAAGAAAAAAGAACAGCCTTTGAGTACCTAATGTAAAAACCGAAGGCTCAATATATGTGAAGAATCTCAATACAAGAAGTAGATTGCTTACCCTCCATCAACGATCTCGTCAAGGCATAAAAGAATGAGATCTAAGTTCTCTAGTGCTTCCATTTTTTCAACATTATTCCTATAAATAAACATATTAGATTAGATAGCAAGAAGAATTAAATTGGAACACTATCAAAATTAAAATTAAGGAACGGTGGTTGAAATTATGGTCAACAAAACCTGAGGAGAAGGGAAACTGCATCAACGAAACCTTGAAGAGCCGTGGCCAATATTAGTTCATTTTCTTCATCACCTCCAGTTACAAAGAAGTGCAGGTCTTGGATGAACTTATAGACAACAACATTGCTATCAAACATTGTTATCTCAGCTGTACATGGTAATATTCAAACACATCAGTAGACATTAATTCTGAAGTAATAATCTCTATGAACTCTAGCACAATATTTTGACACTTCATCTTAGGAAGGAGATTGAAAAGGAGCGAGAGGCAAATCATCTTACACACACACACACACACACACACTGTTTACACTTTATATGATCACATATGAAACCCAAATAGATGGGGCAGCACTATTACTGTTAAGAAAAATGAAAAAGAAAGAGTGAATTTTTTTGAAAGATGATGCACTCATTCCAACAGTAAGAGAAACAGAATATAATTGATGTTGTTTCCATACACAGAGATCAACAAATCATATACAGTGGCTGACTCTACCAACACCTTTTCCATTAGTGCTTTTGATTAATATAAGACAAAATGTGAAAATTTGTCTACAAAATATAATTTAGAAATATTTCATATACATAAAACGAAATTGTACGCACAATTGAAACACTATCACATGCCACCTCTCATTTCCTTTCGCTTGAGACAGCATTTTGAACATACAAATTTGACCAATGTAAATTGCCCCATTTATGATCTATCAGATAGAGAATGAGGAACTCAGATGCCAAAGTATGTCAACTCTTAAATCATCATAAAAAAAAGGATGAACATACCTATGTTACCTAGAATGTGGATCGTTCTAGTACATGAAACGGGAATGGCAACGGGAACAGAAACGTGGTATGTGGTACGATGTTTCAAGTTGAATCTTAAGTAATTGGCAAGCTTTTGGGCCTTGATTAGGCGAAATGGTTTTGAAGTTCAGACATGTTTTCTCAAGTTTTCAGGCCCAAATGGTGTATTTTAAAGTTTTAACTTCGAGTTTTGAACTTGGGAGTGCAATTTGGAAATTTTAGAATTCTGCTCTCCGTTCGAGCGAGCAAATCTGCGCTCGAGTGACCACTCTTTCATTGGTACTCTCGCTCGAGCGACCAAAAGTTGGATTGAGCATAAAATGCATGCTCCCAGAAGTTTTCATGTTTTGCAGACCGCACGAGTGACAATAGTTGCGCTGGAGCAAGGACCTCAATCTCACGCTCGAACGACTGTCGAGCAAAAAATTCATACAACCAGTACTTTTGCTGAGTTTACAGACCGCTCGAGCTAAGGAAGTTGCGGTCAAGCGACCTCTCACATGTTTGGACGCCCGCTCGAGCGAGGCCCCTATCTTTAGCATGTTTTCTTAAGTATTTTCAAGTGCATTTTAGCATCCTCATTGCATCCTAGGCATTCTTAGGCCGTGATTAAGACATAATAATGGGGTTAAGGGCAAGAAACACACTAACAACGAAATAAAATAGGTTAATCATTATCCAAGCGTGTGTTTCAATCTGTGAATCTGTTATCTTTGTGTAGGTCACGTGCCGTGAGTTGTTGATCTATGGATTACTACCAAAGCTATTTGTGCAATTATTGTGAGTAATAACTTAGTAAAGCTATGTTCATTATAAAGTACTTTTCGAACATTATGGTACGATATGAACTGTTTTAACGATACAAAAGGATTGTTGTGATTACATGAATGATGATCCACTCCTTTGACATGTTAATGTGTTATCCTTAGCAGTGGCCCTCGCCCAAGGGAAATAGTACTGTGGCTTATGGTCATGAGGCCCTCGTCCAGGGGAATAATATTGTGGCCAAGCCCTTGCCCAAGGGAATAATACTGTGGCCCATGTGTGAGATATATTACCCGGTACCGGAGGTTCCATTATGGAACTTGATAGGCTTTACCATAGGAATATGTTAATGCTCATGGATGTACCACGCATGATTTGAATAGGATTATGACTATGATTCTATTTCTGATACGAATATGATTATGTATTTGATATGATAAAAGGTGTGGAATCCATTCTGGGCATCATTCATTAAAACCTTTACTCTGTTATTATTCATTGGGCTCCGGCTCACTCTATTATTTATGTATGTAGGTGACCAGGCACATAACCAGACTCAGAATTGATAATCTGGAGTTTTAGTTTGTCAACCAGGCTTTGTGCCTCCCAAGGAGGTTCCGAGTGTCTTGTGGTCTTATTTTGTGAACGTAAAAGGCTTTGTTTACTTTTGGATTCAAAACAAGTTTCTTGTTTATTTGCATATTGGGCTCGGTCCCCTTTTTCTTTATCTGTAACGAAAGTGATGTAGACTATGTATTTATGACGTCACACCCATGTATATTATAAGTTTTCAAATTTGTATCCCATGTATGTCTACACAACTCAATGGACTATGTATGTTTCTATGTTTGCTTCCGCTAGCCCCTTACATTTTGCTAATCAGGTCAGAGGCCTTCGGTAATTTGAGGATTACTGGCCGGTTATGACGCTAAACCTGTAAGGGAGGGTTTGGGTCGTGACAAAGTAGTATTAGAGCATGAGTTATACCGCACAAACGAGTCCATATGAGCTATAGGACGTTCTAGAAAAGAAGTAGGGACATTTCACCCGCATGTGTGAGTGTGTGAGTTAATTTCTATAACTATGGAAAATGAATCTGAACATGAACTCAACATGAACTCACACAATTGAAATAAATGCATTGAAACTGAATACCTTGAACAATGTAGAAGGAATTACTTACCTATGTTTATTTTTGCTTTGTTTACCTATAGAAAATGGAAAACACAAGAAGTGACAGTACAAATGAATCCTCAAAGGCTCGCATGGGCCGAATGGAACAAATGCTTGCAGCCCTAACTGAAGCAATGATATAGCAGCAAAGACAACAACTTCTGCTTCCTCTGCCCCCTCTGGTCCAAGTTGTGCCGGATAACAATGATATTATAAATCTAACTCAGATGTTCATGAAGATGAAGCCGCCAACTTTCTTAGGTGGTATTGAACCCTTAAAGATAGAGACATGGTTACTTGAAATGGAGAAACTATTTGAAGTGTTTCCTTGCTCCGAGATGCAAAAGGTTCTATTGGTCACCTATAACCTAAAAGATGAAGCCCGAAGATGGTGGTTGCTAATTCTAAATAGTAACGGGAACATAACATGGGCTCAATTCAATGAGATTTTCTACGATAAGCACTTTCCTCAGTGCTTTCAAGATCAAAAGGTTTCTGAATTCCAAGAACTTAAGCAAGGTAAGATATCCGTAACCGAGTATGAGGCTAAGTTTACTAAGTTGGCCAGATTTGCTCCTCATATGGTCAACACAGACTATAAGAAGGCTCAGAAATTCGAGGGGGGATTAGATTTGGAGGTGTTTGATCGAGTAGGAATTTTGAAGTTGTCTACATATGTGGAAGTACTTGATAGAGCATTGATGGCAGAGGCCATTCTGACAACAAAGAAACAAGCTACAACTTTAACAACTAAATGGAGAGGTAAAAGAGCCGAATTCAATTTCAAGAAGGGTCGGTCATTTTCAAAGAAGCAAAATACGGGATCCTCCAATAGCTCTAGTCAGAGTAGTGGATCTATTTCAAACTATCCAGATTGTGCAAGGAAGCATAGAGGAGTGTGTTACTGTGCATCTGGTGCTTGTTCTTGGTGTGGCAAACTCGACCATATAATGAAGGATTGTCCACTGTGGTCCAAAAATGCCAACCGCCTTGCAACAAGTTCAGCCGGATCTGCCTCCATAACAAGATCAAATGCAAGAACTAATGCTAGAGGTAATACTGGAAATGAAACATTAAGGCAAGGGAGAGTATTCACATTGGTGCCAGGGGATGTACAGAATACTGAGTCTATGGTGTCAGGTATAATTTCCATCTGTGCCCAAAATGCATATGTCTTGATAGATTCTAGTTCTACACACTCATTTGTGTCGCATGCCTTTTCTCAGAAATTAACTAGACCATTAGAACCTATGAATTATTTATTGTTTGTTTCTACACCGACTAGGGGTTCTATGGTATGTGCATATATGTTTATCTAGCATGTGATGTTGTAATCAGTGATATGACGTTGTATGTTGATTTATTACCTTTGGGAATTGATCATTTTGACTGCATATTGGGTGTGGATTGGTTGACGAAGTGCTGTGCAACTATTAACTGTGTGAATAAAACTGTTGTGTTTCGTCCACCCAGTCTACCTAAGTTTGTGTTTGTTGGGAATATGGTAGTTCCTCCACCGTACTTGATTTCTGCCATGAAAGCTGTTAAACTACTTAGGAAAGGATATAGGGGCAATATGTGTTGTGTTCTGATCAAGACTTCTACTAGTCCTAATGTGGAAACTATTCT